CCCCAAGATGCGCCAACATTGCCCTGGGGGCCTGCCAGCAGGTGGGGCAGCTGCATACAATCCATCAACGCGAATATGTTTTGGGTTTGAGGGCCTCCAAATGTCAACGATAACAGGCGCGCAATAGCTTGGTACGACATCCGTCACTGCTTAGAGTCTAAGCAGTGACTTGAACCTTCGCCCACATGCCACATCCCAACCACCGCAGGCTGCCAATGATGCCAAAGCCCCGTATCACCCCTGCGGCCACGAGCTCCTTCACGGCCTGAACCAGTGCACTGCGCAGCAGTTCAGGCAGTTCTTTGAGGGGGAGACGCGCGATGTCTGCTTCGACGCGTCCCGCAGCATCACGGGCGTGGTGCCCGGCACCAACAAGATCGCCTATGGCCCATAGGCGATCTTGTTGCCCGGCGCCTAGCCGGGCTAGGCGCCGCCTCTCGCCACCTCACGCGGTGGCCGACTTTGCTGCCCATGCTTCCATGCACTCACGCGTTTGGCCTGCCGGGGCCGTGGATGCCATGGCTATTGGCCATCGCGGCATGTGGCCGGCATGGCGGGCTCCAAGTACCGCACACCCTATGCAGCTGGGGCATGCGTCCACCATGCCCCTCGCGTGTTTACTTGCTCTAATAGCCCCGCCAGACAAGACTGATCCTCGTGTTTGCCAGTGTCAGGTTTTGAGGTACAGTATCTGCCCTGTACTGGATGGATTTAACAACAGCTGACACTTCAGGCCACTTCCTACTGCAGCGATCTTCACCCGTTGGGCAGCCGTCGCGTGGCTGCTTTACACGGTCGCCGCAGGCACAAGCAGTTTTGCTTTTGCGCAGTGTAATGTGCATTATGCCATCACAACCCTGTGCGTTGGATCTCCTCCCAGCTGTGGGTCACAGACAGGAAGCCCACATTACAACAGCCGCAGCAAGATCTGGCTTCGGCAACAGGCCGCCTCGAAAATTGCATTGTTGGCCGCCTCAAAGGAAAGACAGCTGCGCTGACCTGTTACTGGCTGGGGGATTCGATGCACGCATACCAAGTGAAAGGGCACCCGCACCAGCAAGCACCACAGCAGCAGCAGCAGTCAACTGATACACAAGTTTGCATCAACAAAGGAGATGCTGCACAAGACAATCCAACCGCAGGGCAAAAATCCTCAAAGATCCAGGAGAGTGAGCGGAGGTCACAGAACAATCCCAACTGCGGCTGAAAACGATAACGCAGTCACAGGGCTGCATAAGCCCAAGCAACAGAGGACTGCGTCAAACGGTCGGTTATGTGTCAGCAAGCGAAAGGGAATGCATTCTTGGATTGATCACATGGTATACAGGCACCATGCACGCTTTGGTGCCACGCATTCCACAGCCGCCCCCCTGACAAAAACACCACCATGGCATGACCAAGCTACGCGCAGCGCCGCAGAGCCACCCAGCCAACACAGCCATCACCTCGCGTCCCGCCGCGGGCGCTCCGGCAGCGGCGCGCCCGCCCACAGCCGCTCCAGCCGCGGCAGCAGCGCCCGCTCCACCTCAGCCGGCGCGAGGTCCAGCTTTCGAAAGAACAGGCTACCGTTGCGTGGTGCCATCGCCAGCGCCTGCATCAGAGACACGTCTGCGGCCCCGACCGGCCCGACGCCGCCCCAGCGGACGCTGCAGGGCAGGGGGGCGCCGATGCTGCGCCACGTGTGCGGGTGGCGCGTCTTTTCTGGGTCCGGGTCGAAGAGCACAAGGGTGGGACCGCAGTCCAGCAGGCGCATGTCCGGGCCCTGGGCCGCGCCGCCGACAGCGCCTGCGCACGGCGCGCGGCGCGGCGGCCGCTGCCGATCTGTTTTGAGGGGCTGCTGCTCCCCTTCCTGCTGTTGCTGCTGCTGCTGCTGCTGCTGCGGCTGCTGTGTGGGCTCCTGCTGCAGCCCGTTTGGCTGCTCCTGGGGCGCACCTATATCCCGGGCAGCCTCGCTTGGCTCGCCTGACACTGCGCCCACCGCCCCCACGGCCGCTGACGCTGGCGCTGCTGCCCGCCTGCGGCTCGACCGGCGCACGCCAAACGCCTGGCTGTCGCCCGCGGCCCGCCGCCTGCCTCTCTCGCGGCTGCGTGGGCTGGTGGTTTCCTCCTCCTGCCCGTCATCGCTCCCACCGCCGCTGCTGTTCCCCGCGTGGGCCCCGGCGTGCGCGGGCGGCCGGCTGCCGGCCGCAGGAGCATCCGCCTCCTGGAGGCTGGCAGCCGCCGAGGCCGGCGGCGTGTTGCTGCCGCGGCTGCCGCTGGGCTCGGCGGCGTCGGGCGCCGGGGTGCCGTCCGCGCTGCTGGGGACCTCCTGCCTCCCATCCTGTCCCTCCTGCTCCGCCGCCACAACCACCTCCTCCTCCCCCTCGCCCTGGTGCTCGCATT